TTCTACCATAAAGTGCTTCAAAAGGCGTCATGCCGATTGAAGAGTGGAATGAAGTATTGTACCAAAACTCGGCAAGGGGGAGAAAACGTGTCCATAGCTTAGGTTCCTCGCTGACCACCTGAGGTAAGTTTCCAAACACCTATTCAAAACTTTTGTCTGACCATCCGATTGGTGATGGTATGAGCTGCTAAAGTGTAATATTGTGCCCAGGTGTTTGAAGAGAGAACGCCAAAATTGGATCACGAAAATACGGTCCCGATCGCTGACAATGATTTTGGGGGCACCATGAAGCTTGTAGATTTCAGAAATAAAAATTAGGGTTAGGGATGTTGCTGTAAAACTTGTGGGGAGCGCTATGAAGTGAGAAAATTTGGTGAGACGATCTACGATGACCCAGATGGCAGTTTTGTTGTTGGAACATGGGAGATGGGTGATGAAATCCATCGAGATATCATCCCATACTTGTAGAGGTAATGGTAAAGGTTGCAAAAGACCATAGGAAGCATGAGTATTATACTTGTTGTGTTGACAAATGTGACAAGCATTAACAAACGTTTTGACATCTTTATGCATGCCAGGCCAATAAAAAGAGGCGGACAAACGAGCAATGGTGGCTTGAATGCCGGAGTGGCCACCTAGAGGCGACGCATGGAATTCCATTAGCAGTGAGGAAATAAGCCCTGATTCTGTAGGTATGAATAGTCTGTCTTTGAAGTAGAGCAGGTCTGCCTTAACTGTGAATTTATGTTGCATGAGTTGATCTTCTAATGCTTTCTTTAACAGCTTCTGGCCTACAGGATTAGTCAAGAATTTTTTTTGCAATTTGGAAATAACAAGTGAGCAGGGAAAACTAAACATGGAACAAATTTCAGCAAATGGTGGCTCATTTACTCGCGATAATGCATCTGCGACAATATTCTCTTTACCAGGTTTGCAATAGATCTCATAGTTGTAGCCAACTAATTTAGTCAACCATTTTTGTTGTTCGGGTGTTTAGATGGTTTGGGTCATGAGGCTTTTGAGGCTTTTGTGGTCGGTGTAAATTTTGAAGGTGGAACCTAATAGGTATTGTCTCCATTTTTTTATTGCTTCCATTAAAGCATAGAGCTCACGCACGTATGTGGAGGACGAACTCATTCTGGGATGCAACTTTTTGCTAAGGAAGGCTAAGGGTCGGGAGTTCTGAGATAACACAGCGCCTATGGCAGTGTTTGAAGCATTTGTGGTGACTTCAAAATGCTGCTCGAAATCTGGAAGGGTAAGTGCTGGTAGGTTTGCCATTGCTTGTTTTAATTTCTCGAAAGCTGTGGCTGCAGTATCTGTCCATACGAAAGCATTAGCTTTGAGTAAATCCATAAGAGGGCTAGCTATCGCAGCATAATTTAGGACAAAGCGTCTGTAGAACCCCGTTAGACCTAGGAATGCGCGAAAGGCTGTGGTATTTTTAGGTGTTGGCCAGGCAGTCATGACTTGGATTTTAGTTGGGTCAGATTATACACTACTGTTTGTGATGGTATGCCCTAAGTAGTCAACAGAGTGCACACCAAATTGGCATTTTGCTAGTTTGGCAAAAAAATTGTGGGTAGATAGGATGGACAGAACTTGGTGTAGGTGAGTAAGGTGAGTTTCCCATGAGGGGCTGTATACCAGGATGTCATCAAAGAAAACAATCGCAAATTTGCGCAAGAATGGTCGAAGAAGGTCATTCATGGCAGCTTGGAAAGTGGAGGGGGCATTAGAAAGACCAAAGGGCATAACTAGGAACTCGTAATGGCCATCAAAAGTGCGAAATCCTGTTTTATGGATGTCCTCTAGAACCAGTCTGATTTGGTGATATCCCGAACAAAGATCTATTTTTGAGAAGAATTTCGCACTATGCAACTCATCTAAGAGTTCGTCAATAGTGGTAATGGGGAATAGATCTTTGATGGTGATGGTGTTTAAGGCTCTATAATCGACACAAAAACGCCAAGTGTCGTCTTTTTTCTTGACCAATAGAACCGGGGACGAGTAAGGGCTAGTGCTTGGTTGGATGATACCGTCTTGAAGCATTTCGGTAATGAGTTTTGTCATAACGTCTTTTTGATAATGGGGGTACCAGTGTGGCTTGATGTTTATGGGTTGTGCATTGGGGTGTAGATGTATGTGGTGATCGTGTGGTCTCGTTGGGGGAAGAGTATTTGGCTTGTCAAAAATGTGGGAAAATTGATGGAGTAGTTGTTGTATATTTGGGTGACAATTGAGGATAAAGTTATTCGGGTTTGTTGAATCATTTTGTGCATGAGTTATGGTAGATTGAGTAAAGGGTATCATGGTAACGGAGTGGAATGTGGCCACTGAGTGTGTGTGTGTATCATTCTGTTAAGTTGGTGGATGGATGCGGGAGTGGGAAGTTGTGGTTTGGTGCCGGTGATTGTAAGTTGTGCATTTTGGTGGTAGAATTGCGTTGAGGGAACGGAGAAATTAGAGATAAACGGTCCTAGTGTTTACAGCCATTGGACTCCTAGGACAAGGTCTGCCCCTTGAATTAGTAGTACATAGAGAGGGATTGTGAAAAGGTGGTTTTGAATCATTAGTGGTGTATCCATACATAGGCCGGAACAATGCAAGTATTCACCATTTCCAACCATGACAGGGAAAGCTGGGAAATTTTGAATGGGTAGGTGTAGGAATGTTGCAATTCTAGGTTGTATAATGTTGTGGGAGCTTTCTGAGTCAACTAGGACTGTGAGATTGTGGCCATAAATGGAGGTAGTGAAGCGAAGGGTGCGTGGAGATGGTTGGCTGGTGGCTGCCTGTAATGAAAGTTGAATGGAATCTGGGGCTGTTTCCGATTCGGTTTCCGTAGGGGATGCAGGTGGGTCATGGGTGTCAACAGGGGTGGTAATTTGGTCAATTGTGTCTGTTAGGGTGGAATGTTCTTCGTCTGTGAGTAAAAGCAAGAAGGGTTTTGTTTTGTAGCGGTGACCGGGATGGAAATGTTCATCGCAATTGAAACAAAGGCCTTGGGATTTTCCTTGTTGCATTTCTGTTTGGTTTAGACGGCGTATTGGAATATGTTGTTGTAGGTCTGGTGGTTTTGGTAAAGTGGGAGGGAAGGGAGTCGGTAACAGCGGTGGTTTAGAAAACTTAGAGGGGTTAGTTTGGTAAGGTCAGGAAGCAAGTGTTTTTGATTCAATTAGTTTCGCCAAGCCAATAGCTTGCGATCTGGTGGGTTGGTGGATAGCTAACTCATTTTGAATATGATTTTTTAGACCAGAAACGAAACAATCAATTATAGCAGTAGGTGAAAGACCGTTTACCCTGTTGCAGAGGCGTTCAAATTCCCTTTGATAGTCTGTCACTGTTGTTGTTTGTTTGAGTTTGAACAATGCTTGTTGATGGTTGTCATAAGCAGAGGGACCAAAACGGACCTCCAAAGCCTTAATGAAAATATCTCATGTCGATAATAGATGGTTGTGAAACATCCATTGATACCATCCAAGGGCATCACCTTGCATATAACCTGCTATATGAACCAAGCGTTGGTGGTTGGAAATGGAGTAGTGGGTGAAGAACTGGTCAGCTTGAAAAATCCAATCAAGTGGGTTATTTCCATCAAAGGGTGACAGAAGAAATTTTGGGGGTTTGATTGTAGGTTCTTGGTTACTGTTTGAGCCACTATTGGAATTTCGTTTGTTACTAGGGGGAGGGGTAGCTATTTGCGAGTGAAGCGTTTGAATTGAGGTGAGATAACTTTCATGGCAGTGGTCTTGTTGTTCACGAAAGGATGTAAAAGCTGCTGCTAAATTGTTGACAGATTCATGCAATTGCTGTAGTGATGGTGGGTCAGATGGTGGTTGTCGGGAAGGCATGATGTAAGCAAATGAGAGCACCAAATTGTTAGAAAAAAGGCACCAGAATTAAATTCCCCTGTGCAGGGGAAAGTCTTAAGGTTAGAGAGATGATAATAGGATGAGAATATTATATTTTTCCCCCTTTTTCATTCATCTGTCATTCCCTTTATAGAGTAGGGATCCACAATTACATCCATAAAAGAAGGATCTAGAGACATTTGTCCTTATCCCCAAAAATTACAATAAAATTGATAAAAGAAAATTCTAAATTATTGTTTGTTCCTATCCTTTTGCAGGACAGCTGTTGACAACTCACAGTACCAAAATCCAACTCAAAACTAGTACTATTGATTGCTTAACAAGGAATTCTTCAAGTGGTAACCTGATGGGTTTTTGAATCTTCCGTTGTGATTTACGAATAGGCCCAATTAGCTGTTTTTGAAGTGTTTGCTTTGACTTTGTAACAATCATATAAACACTTTAATCTTGAGTCTTTTTTTTTTTATAAGGCTTGAGATATTTCTCTAGTTGGATTACTATCATCGTAGAGTTGAAAACTATTACCACCAACTTCATCGCATATGTTGACGAAGTCATCATCAAAAACATCAAAGAGGATCTTTTATAGAATTATCTTCCATGAAAGTGAACATTAGATTTCTGCAAATGATTCTACAAAGCCGCATCCACAACTTGGCGGCAAAAACACAATCAAAAAATAGGTGTGCAGTGGTTTCAAAATGAGAGTTGCACAAACTGCAAGAAGAAACCATTGAGCAACCTCTATATCTTGCAGCATGTCGTTCGTAGGAACTTTTTGCTGCATTAGCCTCCACATCATTATGGATTTGGAGGGAGGGATCTCCACATGCCATATGATCTTAGCCCAATTAATAGGTTGAGACGTATGATAAGTGGCACATCAATGAATACAAATGTTTAGAACAAATCAATTATAGAAAATAAAACCGAAAAACCAAAATTAAGGCCATATCTTTGAGTGAGATTTAATCCAATCTGTTAATTCCTTTACTTCATAATTACATAATTCATAAAATGAAATTTCCTTTATTGCACAAGTAATATGTTTTTGTGCAATTTTACATTTTCCTCTTATAGTCATTCTTGCAACCTGAATTCTGCTTCGTCTAAACCCACCCAGCTCTAGCTGAGGAAAGAATCGGGATATAAACAAATCAACCAAGTTACCAGTAATACATTTGAAAGAAGAAAAGCAAAAAGAGCTTGGAATGTGGACATTGGGCTTCTCCATTCTTCGGGAGGACGATCTCTGTTTATCAACCCTTGTAACTGATCGCCTCGTTTTCCCTGAAAACAGAAGAAACATAATCAGATGACAAAACAAAAAGGCAAAGGTAAAATACAAAAGTAAAGATTACTCATTTCGGCATTTCCTAATATTACCTCCATTGCATCCCTTAAAGGCCCCCAACATTCCATTCTGTTGTATATTTTTGAGCTAGAATGGAAATATACCCGAACAATAGAATCCAGCAATTCAGGATGCTCATGGAAAAGTACAGAATCTCCACATTGAATTGCTTTGAGAACCTGGCATGCTCAAGACAACAATCCAATCATGTGTCATAATACATTTAGGCATAGGACTGCCATAAAAACACCTAAAGAGCGAGAGACTCATCCTTGCAAGAATATCGGAACAAAATATGCCAATAATTTTAAACAGTGATTTGAATATGCTCTTCATGATTGGAGAACCAATTTACACATACCAGATATAGGATATCACAATTGCACTTCATATTAGGCTCAAGTAGAGGTTTACGGCAAAAGGATATCATTAAATTCTCCTTTCTTATCCCATATTTTTATGGTGAATCATCTTTACAAGCTTTTATGTTCATTTTGAGCAATGACAAGCTTTAGCAACAAACAGTTCACTAATTGGGGACCCATATGCAATTTTTCGATGAGGTTGCAATGTAGAATACTACCTCCGGACTCAAATATAAACAATTTCTAACTAACTTCACCATGTTTAGCGTTTTAATTGGTTCGCATAAGATTATTTTTTGCTTATATTTGAGTCCAGAGGGAGAACATGTCAGAACAGTCCTAGTTCTAGTTCTCAGATTATTTCTGTTTTGATAGAAATTGGATGCGTTAAGGGGATACATAAATTAAACGCAAACATACCAAAGGCATTTCCTTGGAGAATATGTGATATCTAAATTCAGCAGCGAGATCTAGGAAGGAATTAGGACCACTAACAAAGCAATGAACATGTAGGCACATTTCATTCTTCACTTTTTTCCATTCAGCTACAACATCATCCTTCTGGTACCACCCTCTCAACTGCCATTTCACACAATGAATAGAAGACATCAAACATGTGCTAATTAAGCAATAACTTATACTAATGAACAACATAAGGGGCACCCTAGAAAATGCGTCCAAAATATGCATTAAAGACTAATTTCCAAACCAAAGCCGGCAAAACATATAGACACAAACCTGCTCGAGTCTGATGACATTGGAAACAGCTAAAGTGAGATTAGCTGTTAAGTCACAATGAGATAGAATGTAGGTTCTTGGAATAATACTTGCATATCTGTTTATCTGATCTTCCAATAGAACAACCTTCAGTTTTGAAGCTTCAAATTTTGTTGGAGGACCCAATAGTCTAACAGTCTAAGATTAAAAATATAAAAATATAAAAAAATAAAAAACAGGTAATCTTGTAAAATGAATAGAATTGATACTAAATAATAGTGTTTTGCATGTGAAACTGAAACAACAAGGTGCAAAGATGTAAACTCAATATGAATTCAAGAGAAAGAAGAAATTCACTGTTTTCTTCTTTGAAACAACAATTATCATCACCGACTCGTATTCATATAGACAGATTTTCAATTGCAGGAATTATCTCATGAAGCAGATTAGAAATCACAATTTTGTAAATTAGAACCCAACACCAGAAGCCAATCACACATTGTAAGGTGTTTTATCCCTAAACCCTAGTTCAGTGACAACTTCAATGCATGAAAGCAGTCGTAACAAATCAACAAAAGTGAAAATCTTTAACAAATCTATAGATCATGAAGTAATATACAAGAAGCACAATTCATTCTACACATTGACATTCGAGTAATTAGGTTTCTCATGCGTATGGTTTAAAGCCTGCAACTTCCTACAATAATTAAGATTAAATGCATAATAAGAAAGTGAGAGAGAGAACCTCAAAAACAATGGAATTGTAGGAAGATGTGGAATTAGTAGTAATGGAGGAGCATCTGAAAGATGGCTTCAACATGATAGGAAAAAGTTTAGTTGGTGAAAATGAAAAGGCATTATGACATAACGATGCCATTGAAGATGCATAATAATACAAGACTCCTCTTCATGTTTCAAATGCCACCACCATTATCGTCTTTCCTTGTTCTTCTGTTGTTAAAAAGAGTTAAGATAGAAAGAGAGAGAGAGAAAGAAAGAGTGATGTGGGAAATTAGTGTTCTCAGTTTGGTTTGTTCGTGTGGACTGTGTGATTCTGTTCAGACACCACAACACTACAAAATCTCTATCAATCCATTTCTTCCACACATTTTCTTTCTTTCTTTTTACTTTATTTTATTTATTTATTTATTAATTGGAATCAATAATCATAGGAAAAATTGAAAACACACACAAAAACAGTGTACTGGAGAATGAGATTGAACATGCTGTGCCACGTCATCAAACAGTTCAAAATTTCGATAACGTTTAGATGGATAATGTAATGACGTGGCTTTACTTGGGTCAGCTGTTCGGATTCGGAAACCCGCCCGGACATGCTTTCTCTATTAAATACTACTTTAACAAATCTCTCTAATTCCTTAATAAAAATAGAAATTTTAATTTAGCAATTCTTGAAAAAAAAATTATTTGTAGCTGATACTAGAGTGCACACGCGCACACATAAAGTGTTATGGGCCAATCGGAAGAGTCAGTAAGTTTGATCTAGAGAAAGTAATAATTTGTTCAAACCGTCTGCAGCATAGGCGTACTATTCTTAGGAAGAGCATATGAGATTTAGGACTAAAATACATCTAACATTCCTCGTATTTCACGTTTTAAAGATAGTGAGTGATTACAGCTGCTCCTCTATATAAATGAAAATTGTGTCATTCTCAAGTATATAATTTTAAATTCAAACTTCATTCACTCATCTCATTAACATATTGTTGAGAATGTAATTTTGTGTGGCAAAGCAAGTAGTGCTCGATAGAAACAAGAATGTGTCAAAATGTCGAAGCAGATTGCTCGACAGGATTTCGACTTAGGCTTATTTTAGTTGTGTTAGTCAAAATGGATATTTTGGGCTTTTGTGTTTTGGGTTTTGGCTTAGAGGCAAGCTAACCTAAAACTATAAATAGAGGGAGTGACATTTATTCTTGTAATAACTTGAATTTACATAATTTTGCAATTGCAAAGTGAATAAGTTTTTCATAGTTCATGGGCAGAGACTTACTCTGCAGAAATCACGATATTCTTCTATATTTTGTCAAACCCTAATCTTCTTTCTTATTCAATTTTCTTTCTTTTCTTCCACTAACAATTACTGCATAAATCATTCTTGCGTTCAAGGTGTGGTTGATTCGCTCGAGTGAAGAGTGAAGAACAGGGAATTTCAATCGGTTGATTGAATCTTGTTCATCAAGATTGATTTGGAATTCTAAAAGTTTTGGGTTAAAAATTTAACATTTGATATCTAGAGCTCCGGTTGTGATTTGGGGAAGAAAAACACGATGGTGATGAATCATCCAAACGAACATTTTTTAGCGAGTCTTCCGATTCTCAAGAACAATAATTATAAGAATTGGTGCAAGCAGATGAATATGGTTTTCTGTTATCAAGATCTTTGGGATCTTGTGAAGGAAGGAACAACACCGCTTGTAGAAAACGCGACGAATGAAGAAAAGACTGCACACAAAGAATTTAAGAAGAAAGATTATAAAGCTCTCTTTATAATTCATCAATGCGTTGATCTAGATAATTTTGAAAAGGTTAGTGATGTAGAATCAGTCAAAGAAGCATGAGAAATTATGAAGAAATCATTTGGAGGAGCAGAAAAAGGTGAAAAATGTAAGGTTACAAACTCATAAAAGAACCCATGAATTGCTTTAGATGGAAGACAATGAAAGCATAACAGTTTTTCACTAGGGTTACAAAACTGGTGAATCAAATCAAGGTATATGGAGAAGTGTTGACATCAAGATCAATTGTTGCAAAGTTTGACCGCGTGGTAGTAGCAATAGAATAGTCGAAATACTTGTCAACATTGACAAAGGAAGAGCTTCAAGGGACGCTTGAATCTCATGAACAAAGGATGGTGGAAAGAGCTACAAAAAAGTTGAAAAGTGATGTGGATTTGCAGGTGCAATCAGCAAAAGAAAAGAAATGCAGAGGAAGTTGGAATGACAACAAAGGCAGAGGAGACTACAATAATTTAACTGGTCGAAATCAACAAGAAGGAAATTGGTCGAATCAGAGAAAATCCTGGAACCAAGGCAACCAAAGAGGTGATGTTGCAGGTAGACGAAGAGGTGGTGGTCGAAAACCTGACAAAAGTCACATTTAATGTTACAATTGTCAGAAGTATAGTCATTATTCTGGTGATTGTCCTGAGAAGCAGAAGAATCAAGAAACTGATGCAAAGCTGGAGAAACAAGAAGATGAAGAGATGTTGTTGATGGTCGCAACAAGAGAGGAAGAAATATTTCAGGACCAATGGTACTTTGACTTAGGATTCTCATCACACATTACTGGTAGAAAAATTTATTTGTCAACATAAAGCCCTCAATGAAGAACATGGTGAAATTTGCAAATGATAATACTCTAGCAGCTGAAGGTATCATTGATGTTCTGATTATGAGGAAAGATGGCAAAAGGTCAGTAATTTCCAATGTGTTATACATACCAAGCATGAAGAGAAATTTGCTCAGCATAGGGAAGTTAGTCGAAAAGAACTACAAGGTGTCGATTGAAGACAAGATGATGAGAGTTCTCGACTCAAATGGAAGGTTGGTCTTGAAGGCTCCAATGTCTCAGAATAGAACCTTCAAGATTGAGCATAATGTGATGAAGCATAATGTCTTGTAATTGCATCTAGCAAGGATGAACAGATATAGCACTATAAACTCGAATATCTCAACTTTAAAGACACCAGAGATCTGAAGAGAAGAAATATGGTTTCAGGATTACCAAAAATCAAAATTCCAAATGAAGTGTGTGAAAAATATGTGCAGGCAAAGCAACACAAGAATAGCTTCAACAAGGATGCAGGAAGCAAGTCTAAGGCAACTCTTCAAGTCATATACTCTGATGTGTGTGGTCCTATCCAGGTGGATTCAATTGGAGGTAACAAATACTTTGTCACTTTCATAAATGATTTCAGTCGAAAACTGTGGACTTACTTGATCAAGAAGAAAAGTGAAGTGATCGAGGTATTTGCCAAATTTAAATCTATGGTTGAAAGGAAAAGTGGTCGAAAGCTAAAGATTCTAAGGACTGATGGTGGTAGAAAGTATGTGTCAAAAGATTTTGATGTATTATATGAGAAAGAAGGGATTGTGCATGAGGTGGTGTCGACCTACACTCCACAACAGAATGAAACTGCATAAAGGAAGAATATAACCATCATGAGTATGGTGAGAAGTATGTTGAAAGGTAAACATCTGCATAGAGAATTATGGGGAGAAGTTGTATCGACTGCAACATACATCTTGAACAAATGTCCGACGAAAAGGCTATAAGGAATTACACCAGAAGAGTGTTGGTCTGGTGTCAAATGTAACACCTTACTCTCCCCGTTCATTTAATGAATAAAAATATGAAAATAGTTTGCGGAAATTAATCAGAGTTACACACGTAGGATGCCACATCAACAAAAATATCATCACGAAGTATCAAATCACTTCATATCTTATTTCCTCATACAAATAAATAAATTGAATAGACAACAGAAAAAATCAAATAGTTCAGCACTAAGGCTCCAATTACATCAAACCTCCACAAAATTTATGGTTCAACAACATTAAACAAATCAAGATACGTAACAAATAACAAATGAAAAATAACATAAAGAAAATAACAAAATCCCCATCCTTCCTGTGTTACATATCAAAGCGACTCCTAAGACTCGATTAATAGCAACAGGCTCTAAGCACTACTCAGATACCTGATTATCTGTACTCCCCAAGGAGCACAAACATAACAACAGAAAAGGGGTGAGAATTACATTCTATAATACACGGTGAAAATCACATGCTAAGAAGTATTTATCACAGAAATCATACCAATCATACCATCACAACGCACACACAAGTACCATATCAATACTCGACATATTCAGCCTATAATCAATCATATACATATGCAACGTGACTCAACTGACATGACACAATGCATGTGGTACCATCACAAACCATACGGTTCCTCCATTGAACCCAATTCTCGTCGGAATCTAGATAAGTCGTATATGTTCCTATGAACTACAACTTATCTCTACTCGACTCGCACATGAAGTCCGGACGAAACTAGACACTCATCATGGCTTCCTACCTAGACTCATTTCCACCAGACACAACATGAATGCATGACACACAATTATGCACAGTATAATTATCATTCATGCATAACCCACGATCCTCAATGATCACACGTGAGCCACATACTCACCGTAATTCCCTCAGAAATTACCACCACTGCCCAAGACCGTCTACATAACAACAATCTTGGCGCACAAGCATCAAACACGTCTCATAAAGACAATCACCTAAAATTATATGTTTTATCATATTAAATGTAATTATCAGTTCTCCTATGTACAATTATATCATTTTAGTCTTACAGATCAAGAGAAATAGCATCGCATGCGAAATCGAGACAAAAATCGCAAAAACAGGAAATTTACAACACAGACCTACCCATACGCGTATGGCCCTGTTCTCCTCACCTAGGCATGTGCATTGTAGGCGTAGAGGTTAAATGCCCATACCTTCATACACGTAATTCCAAGGCCTTACGCGTATGGCCAGAGGGGATTTCCCTCCAAAAATGCTCCAAAAGCTGCCCATACGCGTAATGGCATTGCCATACGCGTATGGTCTCCCCTCCCTTGCGTGTCTCTTACACGTACCGACAGATGGTCATGCTGGAATGAGGACAGGGCGTGTATGATACGTGCAATGTCCTCTAGGAGTGTCCCCCATACGTGTAATGCCCTTGGCATACGCGTATGGCCAGTCTGCTACAGAAAATGGGTTTTTTGCATTAGTGCAATTTTTTTCTCATTTGAGCACCTTCAAGCTCCTATTTCAGACCAAAAACATC